TACTGTGAAATTGCATAATCAAATGAAATTGTTTTAGTTTACTTTTTTATTTTAGAAATTAAATGTGGGCACTAAAACATAATTTCATATTTTTATTTTTACTCCCTTAACAGAAGTGAGGAATGTGTTAGGAAATGACATTTGTTGGAAATCTGTGAATAGGGAAGAGTCTTTCTACTGCCTTAGATTTAAAAATGAGTGACATCAGAACATAAAGATTGTGCAGAAGTATTGTTGATGTCTCAGGTTCTGTTTCATGCAATCAAGAAGTTATCCTTTTCTCACCCTACTTATTTTTGTGTTTTTCCTATCTATGCTTCCTATTTTCAGAGAAAAGCATCAGTAAGAGCTACCACAACTTAGAAAAAAATTCTTTAGCCAGTAGGTAGAACTCAGAGTGTTTTGCTGGAGAATGAGCAGATAAAAGCACAAACAAAATATTTTTAACTGATGTGCATTTCAAAATTATATGACTTTCAAAGTTAGATGCTATGGAATAAGAAGCTTATGTAACACAACCTTAATAATCATGTAGGCCTTGCTGTTTAAAATCGTAATCTTTTATAAGCATCTGCATCCTGGTATTTTGACTCCCATTGATGCCATGATAGCGTGCTATTCACGTGTTACCTTGAGGAACTTTTCCCCAGTAGCATTCCATTTGTGAAATGCTCGTGATCGTTGGAACTCCTTTTCATTTCTCAATTGTCAATCAAACACCTAGGGATATTCTATTTGGGGGCATCTTGTACTCCTTTTGTGTATGTGTTGTTTGTCTCCTTGTTTACGGTTCTGTGATTTTTCTGTTGTTTACAAAAGGCGGGGTGTCCTCCTTCAGTAGGATCCTGCTGTTTGGACAGCACGATTGTATTTGTATGTCCCGTTCAGCTGCTGTAGAGAAAAGCCCGTTGCCATGGTGAGGATTATAATGGCCCACATGAAATTTAGGCCTGGCGTGGAGCATGCTTTGAAAAAATATGCAAATATTTATTTTCAAAGATAGAGCAGGCTTCTTGGGAAGCCCTGGGTGATCGGGGCAGTTTCCTTGCCCACAGATCATCAGATGAAGTCAGTGTCATGTAATCTACCTTTGGGTTATTACCAACTTCAGTGCTCTCAAAACTCAGATTGCATTTTCTGTAACTTGACTGTTATCTTCAGCTATATCAGCAGGCGTATTGGCTTCTCTTGTCTAACTTGCTCAGATTTCAGCCTTGGGGCTGACTTCATTGGATAGAGGATAATTTTAAGTCTTTGTGTTGTGTTGTGTTATTTATTTATTTATTTATTTTGCTGCTTCAAGAAGACCTCAGGCCTTTTGCATGTGCAAGGTGCGCATTCTTTCCGTGAGCAGCACCCCAGCCTCTGTGCTGCTTGCTGTCGAGGCTCTACTGCATGTAGAAGGAGTATACCATTTCTCTGAGGGTCTTGTAAAAACATCACATATTGTTCCCTGCAAGTTACACAGTGAACTCTTCGGGCATCCGGGGACATTCCGCAAGCTGGAGCTATTTCTAAGAATGTTTGTCAACTAATAGCATATGTTTGTAAAGAATGTTAGTTTCTCACATTTTGGGGTTACTTGTCAATTTAAGTAAAATGTCAACTCCTTTTAAAAGCCTTTGACAATTTCTGAGTCACAACTTTACAAAACTCCTGACATGCCATCCTGAATGTTAATATGAGCTTACGTTAATTATCACTTAAAGTAATTATTAACAGCTTAACTAATTTAATAGTTCTAATAATTAATTTAAATACATATACATTAATTTTTTAAAAAGCCTGTTTCCTATCACTGCAGACTTCTATGATTTGCATACTCTGGGTTTGACAAACCCAGGGATCTCAGAGACGTAAAATAAATACGCTACTTGTATAAAATGTCCTTTACTTCTGAAAATAAAAAAGAAACTGTACCTTGCTACATTGTGAGGCTCATGGCAACTGCGTTTGCTTTTCAGATCCACAGCTCAAGGGCATAGTGACCAGGTTATACTGCAGGCAAGGCTACTACTTGCAAATGCACCCCGATGGAGCTCTCGATGGAACCAAGGATGACAGCACCAACTCCAGTAAGTGACAGCCCTGGGCCACCCAGAAGTATGGGGGGAGGACAGACATTGCTACTGCCTTTTTGAGATGCATTTGTAAATAATGATGTTGGTTCATTTTTATGAATGTTACATGCTAAGCTGCCCATTCCCATGGTCACTAAGACTGCACAGGAGAAAGCTTTTGCAAAGATAATACCTGTGACTTACACAATTTCAAGTCAGTCTCTAAAGTGTTTCACACAGTTGTCAGACATAGGGAATTACAGTTGCTTTTAATCTCATTGTTATAAAAATCCAGTAAGTACATTGGGGTATTAAGTTGAAAACTGACTACGTTTCCTTTGATTCTATTATTTTCATAGACTTGTAGCTTTTTAACAGTACTGTGGAAATTCCAAAGCTACAAGAATTAATTTGTTTCACATAAAAGAAGTGCTATAGAACTCTTTTAAAATTTTTCATTTAAGAAGACAATATCTGTCTTACATAGAGCGGATCAGGCTGTATACTTCTGGATACATATATTGTTCAAAATGTTTACGTACTTCACAGAATTGGGTTGTGATAATTTATTAAAACTCTGCACATTTCCCACATCAGTACTATTTATCTTTTATTATTTCTTCACCTTTAACTCTTCTACGTAGAGTGTGGCTGATGCCTGTGTCCCTACTAATTCTAGTCTCTTTACCTGTTTACACTGGCATCTGATTTCTCCTAACCTAAAAGTAGTTCTCAAATAGACACATCTGGGCCAGTAAGGTAGCTCAGTTGTCTAAAGCATCTGCTTAGGCAAGCTTAGGCAAGCACAGGGACCATGGTTCCATCCCGGGCACCACATGCCACACCAGCCCTGCCCCCAGGGTGGGCTGAGCCAGCCATCAAATACATAAATAAATAAACAAACAAACAAACAAACAAACACAACTTTTGCTGGAAAGAGTCAGTGAAAAGTAAACAAAAAAATTTATTAGAAATATGTTATCACAGGAAATATTCTCAGTACAGCAGGAGTACATTAGAATACTTCCATCCATTTAACATTTACTCTTTCACCTACAGAAGATCATTCCATAAAATGAAGGAGAATTTGAATATGTATAATCAAATTATAAGCAGTTTGTTTTAAATTCTAACAATCAAAGTCTTAGTAGCTGTACTTGAGGACTGCTATTATTATAAAACAGGGTATTTTTAGGGCTGGGGAGATGGCTCAGTAAAATAAGCGCCTGGCAGTGGTGTGCTCTTGAAAGACAAGGTCTACTTGCAGCTCAGTGTGCCCTGCATTCCAGGGCTGGCACTGAATGTAGTACCGGGGATTGAACCTGGGTCCTTGGGCTTGCTAGCCAGGCACTCAGACCGCTGAGCTATCTCCCCATCCCCAAATTGGATCATTTTTTTTTTTTGTGTGTGTGTGTGTGTGTGTGTGGAATCGGGGATTAAACTCAAGCCTTTGAGCTTGCCAGGGAAGCACTTATTCCACTGAGCCATCTCCCCAGTCCAATTTTTTTTTCTTTTTTTTTTCAGAACCAGGGATTGAACTCAGGCCCTTGTGCTTGCTAGGCAAGCGCTTATTCCATTGAGCCATCTCCTCAGCCCCAAATTGGATCTTATTACCATAAGAATATTAGCCAGTCAAGTGGAGAGCTGAGATACATAAAGATGTAAAGATTCTTCACTTTCTGTTCTCTGAAAGCATGGGGCTCTTTCCTCATCACCTGTGTCTGCACCGGCAGGAGTTACGAAACTAGGCAATGGGAAAGTCTGTCTTTGCTACCCATGCTGTTAGAGACAGTTCCAAGAAGGGGGCAGGATGGAGGGACCTGTCTCAGAGCAGGTCAGAACCAAATCCTGGCAATATTCTGGGACTTTTAATTTCTACCCAAAGATCTGACCCACTGTTTATTTTCTTGCACATCATTTCTCATTTTATGTGCATTTCAACTCAGTATTGTTTCTGTGTCAACATTTGCAAAGACATAAAGAAGCTCAGATAAAGGTTCTTTGCTCAGGAGGCTGGGTACATTGTATAGCTATACAATTTAATAGAAATTCCCAGAATTAACATATATTTGTAAGTGCATGGAAAGTTACTAAACTCCACCATCACTTTTTAAGTTGAACACTATCATCTTAAGGCGAATTTTAAGATCATCTTATCCTCATTGTTAATTATGGCAGTCTTCAGAATCTTAGCATGGAAAATAATATTTTTTTAGTGCTGAAAAGTTACGCATTAGAAATCATGCCATTTCTATACTAACAGAGAAACATCTAAGAATAAGTTAGTGTAGATGCCTTTAGGTTTGAGATGGGGAGTGATGTAGCAATTCATAAATACACTTCCTTGTTTTGGAAAAAAAAAACTTCTCTGAAAACGAGCCATCTATCAATGGAAATAATCTTAAATTCCTCTATCACTCTAAGTAATCAGGTGAAAGCATTAAAGATTGTACATTCAGGTTTTTGAGTTCAGCGTGTGAGTCTATACACCAAGAAGACAGTATTTCCCACTAACTGTGGGATTGTTTTAAAAAGAAAAGTCTGAAATGCCCTGTTGGTCTACCCTTGTGAAAAAGCCGAGATGCACTAAGGACAGGCAGAAGGGCCACTGCCTCACTCCCAGGGTTTTAGCCTGGGTTTTAGAAATTTCTGAGAAGGAAAACTGGCATGACAATGATTGATGATGGGCAAATGGTCCAATGGGGAAGCTACTTACCATTGGCTACCATGTGCCCTAGAGAGACCTTCACAAAGGAAGTGACCTGACAGAAGACCCCATCGCCCTACTCATTT